ATGCTGTACTCATAAAACCATCATGTAAATAATATTATTTTTGTAGGGATTGTATGTCATATTTTGATTTAATATGAGAGCAATATATTATTTAGTACTAAAAACTTTGATACACAATAAAGAACATCATCAGGAACAAACTGTGTTTTCTACTGATTGCAAATCAACTTTTCAAAAAAGGGTCAAGATTTTTCTTTTTTCTACAATTTTAATACTCACTATGCTTATCCTCAAAATGACTGGTGAATTAGTTATGAGTAATGGTTTTAATAACAATATTTAAAGGCACTGAGCAAAAATTATTTAAAAAAAACTTACCTATCTTTCTGACAAACAAACAAATTAAAAGAATTTTCTGCACCCAAAAAATTATCATCGTCAAGTATTTCTACAGCTGACATCCAGTTTGGTTGATAATCCCGAGCAATCTATAAATTGAGCAAAACAAGTGACCCAAATAAACTTTGATGTTTTTAAGGCTATAAAAACTCTTGTATTGAAAACTTTAATTTTCAAATTTAACCACTTTTTTTTTTCTTTTCAAAAATGCTGAAGCTACATATCATCAAGTAACAAACAAAATGCTTTGATCAGCTGAAGGTTTATTGGAAGTAATACCAAGTGTCACTGCTTCCAGTCAAATGCATTATTTCTGTGTGTGGTTATAAATCAAATTCCAAGTCATTAAAGTTGTCTTTGAACTATCAAATTCAGAGCATTAGCACTGTTCTATTAAACTTCCAAACCCAGATCAACACTAATGTTTTGTTAACCCTTTCCATACAGGTTCCATCAATTTGACATATGTATTTGGTTTGTCATGACATTTTACAATTAGATTCAAAATTTAATGCTTTTTTATTTTCAGTGTCAACAAACTTTGTATCAAAATATAGTTTGTAATTCAAATCTTCATGCTGCTTAAGCTTCTATTTCTTAAATTTCAAAAGTAGAAAATTCTTAGTCTTTATTTCTCTGTATCACATGCACTTTCACTTCTCCATTTTAGATCATATAACTTCAATATGATAGCTTGTATAGTGTCTACAGTGACCAAACATGTAACCACCAGGTAACCATGAAACCATTCATAATATAACTCTGAATGTACTAGTGTATATTTATAGAATTTGGCAACCTGTTAGTAAAGATTAAAACTATGCTTTACACAAGAAATCAAATTTTAATTAAGTATTTATACTAAAGATTTGTCTGCAAATTTACAAAGCCTTTACTGAGTCAGTCTGAGTGAAATGTTTTATGTTAAGAATAAGAATACTTATTTTAATCTTACAGTTTTCATATTTCATTTACATAAACTATACAACAGAGGTTCCAAAACTTTTATTTGGTGGCAACCCCATTTCAGACCTCCTGAATCTGCGTGTCCCCATCTGTTCCAAAATGTATTTCAACTGGCTCATTTGGTTTTGTTGATTACATTTTCTTTTTCTGCCAAACTTGTGACCACAGGTTTGGGAACCACTGCTCTAGAACCTCATAAATGAATATTAAGTTTTTTTTCATTTTGGTAAATCTTTATATTTTTTGTCTCTTATTTTCTTTACCCTAACACCAACTGTACTGAAATCATCAATGTACAGTGAAATGAAAAAATATGAAATAAAATGAATATACACTTTTTAAATTCTTCTTTGAATGCTCAATTGTCTCAGGATTTCAACTTACTTATCTTTGCAATTTCAACTGTTAACCCTTTTAATGTGTTTTATTTTAAATTTATGTTTTTTGCCTAAATTTGTATTATGGGAGAAGTTTATCTATTCCTCTGTCAAGAACAATAAATCACAGCAGAAACCCACTAGCTGTTTCTTATAGCATATAAGTTTTACACTCACTGATGTAACTATGCTAGGTCTCAATTTTTCTCACTAAATTGGTTGTATTAAAAAAAATCAAAAATTCATGTAGCTTTATAATACGCATTTTAGAACATCGTTAACCAGAGCAGAATATCCCAAACTACTTTAATTCATATGGCTTTTTATGTAACCAATTAGTAGATTAAAAGAATTCCCTAACTGATAGAACCACCTGAAAATGATCTCCATATGCAAACAGTTTAGCTGAGTACTGCTTTATGTAGGAAAAGTAACAGGTTACTTGCAAATATTTATGTAAAGGAGACTCTATTCTTTCTATTGGTAATAAGCACGTCAATCAGCAGTGTATGTAAAGCTGAATAAATATTAAGTTTGAAAGACAGAGGGAAATGGGTAGGGCTTTTCTGGTGGGCTTGACAAATCTATGGATACCTTCACAAATCAAGAAGGAAGGAGATTCAAATTTTATATTCTTGGTTGTAGTAATGAAGAGTTTGTGTTTTTAATTGGATGAAAGCTGTAGAAGCCTATCATGGAAGTTAGAAAATTCTAAAGTGCAGAATTTGTAATACAGATGTGTGATACCACACATAAAAAGAATTTAAATTTTTAAAAAAATTTCCTTTTGAAATTAAGAAAATAAAATGGAGATAACATAAAAATTTGAATTATAACCTACAATTTAATGCCAAACATTGATAATAAAGTTGTTTACTTAAATTACGAACGTAACACTGTGACATGCAGGAAAGAGCCTTTCCCATACTTAAAGGGTTAAACTACCAAACACAGATCATCAGCACAGTTCTTTTAAACTATCAAACCCAGATCATTAACATAGTTGTGCTAAATGTTTTAGGTTGATATGGCATTACTTACTGATCTTCTAAACTACTAAACTCAGGACATTAGCACAGTTTTGGCTATATGCTTTATTAGCTCTCACTTCACAGTTGTCTGTTTAATTTAGTTATCAATAAGCATTAACTGAGTTTCACACATAACTACGAGCAGATTAATATAACTTGTATTTATAGATCTACAGGATTTCTAATTAATAGATTCCTGGTTTTATGAAGTTAATCCTAATTATGAAAGTTTGTAAAAATAATTGTAAAATATATATATACACACAAGATCTCTTAATTTTCTTTGTATAGTGGTACTTGGCAGTTTATAGCCTAAAGAAGCATGTAGTAAGAACAGTTTTTTTAGTTGTTAGATTTGCACTTATCAGCAAGATGCTTGCAACAAATATAACTTCGGTAAATGTTTACATAAGGCTTTCATAACTGTACTATAATAAGCTATTATATATTGGTTCACTAAAAAGTTACTTTATGTATTCTCCTACATATAAATCCCAAACTGTAATACATATATTAGCAGAATTAAGTGTCCATACATGAGGTCATAAGAAATGCATTTCTAGAGTTTGCAGATTTTACTACCAAAGATGCTATTACACATTACGTGAAGTCATCTCTGATGTTATTTCATCTCAGGTAAACTTACAGTGATATCACATGTCAGTTTGTCCGCAAATATGCTTGTGAACAGTTTCTCTCCAAGACTTATGAAGTTTTCTATGGTAATGAATGTAATGCAGGAATGGCTCTCCATGCCTTTCATCATGACAAAGGTATTTGTCAACACCTAAATAATCCAAGGGACTTGCATAATTTCATCCATATGTTTGAGGAGACAGAATCACTGGCCAATGCATCATGATCAGGATGTCCACCTACACCCAAAGAAGTTGATTAAATTCAGTAACTATCATCAAACATTAGGTAAGGCAATTCCCAAGGGGAATGCTGCACCAAAAAATTAATAATTCCATTGGCTGACCACACAAAACTGTACGGAAGGTGATGCACAAAGCTACTTCAATATAAGATTGGAAGACTGTAGGTACTGCTTTATGCTGAACCATAAAAGAGGTTGAACTACGCCTTGAATTTCATTATGTGTTCAACTGTATGGCAATTGGTTTGGTATTTAGTCGATTAATGAAGCCCACTTCCATCTCTGCAACCATGTTAACAACACCCATAATTGTATTATCTAGGGTGAGACCAATTCACATGCATTCATTGAAAGGTCCCTATATGACCTAAAGAAGTGTGAGTTGGTTAGGTTTACCAGCAGTGTAAACATCAGAAATTATTTTTAGGAGCCCATAGTTCATGTTTTATGAACTGTTATGATCATTCATACAGTTATTAACACTAGCTAACAAGGTTACCATACTTGTACGAGACAGGCATTCAACATGACACTGTTTTCGTACACGATGGTGCATCACCATGTTAACGAAGCTGTGAAGAACCAACCATCTTTGCAACACTTTCAGTGAACAAACCATCAGTAGGGTATTCCTGCACAATTTGTTGTCACAGTCACCAGATCTCTGGTTATGAGGCTATCTGAAAGCATTGGTTCATCATGACTGCCAAAAGAAAGTGTTGATCTTAAGAGCATTTAGTGCCATATTCTTGCCATCCACAGTAGTTAGTTGTGCACAGCTGTGTGCCATGTCTGGAAGCTGTTACTGAGAGTGATACAGACATTATGAATATTTAGTGCAATGAGTTAAACAAAGTCCATATTCCAGTAGGCTAAAGTGTTTGCTTTGAACAGAATAGTGGAATGCTATGCTAAGCAAACTGTGACTTCTAAAGTACATAGACAAGATGATTTCCAATAGACTGCTTGATGAATCAAATGTAAATATAGCAGTGATAGTTGGCCAGATAAGCAGAAAAAAATGGCATAGACCTAAAATATCTTCATAAATTGTCAGTGGTGGAAGTGACTCCTTAATAATTTTAAAATCAATAAATAAAAATATTGTTGTACCTCCATATACTATCTGTCTCGTTTCTTGAGTTACCTGGTCAACACTGCTATATCTAGACCTACATAAGTAAGCCTACATCTAGTAAGGACGAACTCTCACTTCAAAATTCTGAATAAAACACTTTATAATAAAAGCCACTAAAATATAACAAACAATGTTAAGTGCATCGTTTACCTAACACAGTATTAGAAACTTGGTTTTCCAGCTCCAATAACAATCCCATCAATTAGGATGTAAGTCAATGTAAATTTTTTTGGCCTCCACATTTGCAAAAGCTTGATAGACCTGCTCCCAATATTGTCAGTCATGGACTGCAGACGTTATGACCATGATCTGTATGGCTCACTTAATCTCGCTAAAGTTTTGTGTTTCAATTATCCATTGAGTTCAGAAGAAACTTAATTTAAAAACTGACATGATCATTTTGGTTTAACAATTACATAGCATAAATGATGCCCTAGCAGCAAAATCCGTAAACTCTGGTTTTGTATTCCCCAGTGCCCCATGTATGCACACTTAATTATGCTAGTATGCATGAAGACCTTGTTTAAAATTATGAATATACCATAAACTTCATGGGAGTCCATTTGTCCTCTCATACTCTTTTGGTCATAGAACAATCAACACAGGTAAGTTTTTGAAACTGACTATTCTGTGATATTTCAGAATTAATTACAAATGGAATTCCTATGTAATAACTAATATTTTGGAATTACTTATGTACAAAATCCCTATATATATTAACTAAAGTTTGTATTAACAGATACACCTTACATATACAATTTTTTTATCTTCATAATTAGGGGTTTATCCAGAAGGAAAAACAAGAAAAGTGAAAAAATTAAAATGGTTGACACCAGGGTGTCAAAACCACATTCACCCTTGAAAAAAATGAATACCTCTTCAAAGTTTCCTTCTAAAGGTTTGTATGCTAGTAAAGCCATTGATCTCATCAAGTCTCCAACAAGTACAAAATCCCCTTTTGTTTTTAGGTATAAAGCTATTATGTTATTAAAGAAATTGCATTCATTGTGGAGTTCACGTTCTGCAGTCCATTCAAAGAGTCTCACTGTGCTGTTGATACTCGCTAAGAGTTTACCATTAAATTCCACTAGGGTATATGGGGCACCTTTGATTTCTTTTTCAGCAATTTGTTGCAATTTCCCTGTTAAAAAAAAAGTTTGTTTTAGTAGAGCTTAGTGCTTTTTTATGAACTTTGCTGTGACTATATCAACCTAAGAAAATTTTGATACTGATTTGATATTTTTTTTAATCATACAACTCCTAATATTACGTATAACATTAATATAGCAATATTTATTGCTAAATCAAGTATTACTAGTAGTAGATGCTGCTATTTTGGGAAGGCATGGATGGATTGAACATAGGAAAAAATGCTTCACTTTCATAAGGCAAAAGAAATTCATTATAAGTTCTAAATCTTAACCCTATGGCCTTTAATATCAGGAAGCATTTATTTCCTTCTACCTACAGTTATGTTCTAGAAAAATACTTAAGATATGAGAAAAACTGGAAGAACAAAGTTGTTTTTTTTCAATTGAAATTTGATACGTTCAGTTAGTTTTGATACTAGACAATATGTAAGAACAAAAATAGAATTTTTAAAAAATAAACTTGACAATAACCTATAATTTTTGGCAAAAAGACAGGCCAACTCTGGAACAATCAGTTTTTCAACCACACCACTGATGTTCAACCTCCTACAAATATAAATCCAACATTTCTTTCTTAAAAAAATTATCACATGAGTAAAAATTTCAATGGGTTACTGCTCACCATCTGACCAATGAAAAATGATTATTCTTCCCTGTTTGGGTTCAGATTCTTCAGGATTTATTATTGCAGTACCAACAATAAAATATATGTTTGGATCTTCTCCTAATTTTGTAGAAATAATACTCAAAGCGAATTCACTAGCCATGAACTGATGAGAATGGAGAACTGTGAAAGAGAAAATCACAAACTTGACCAAAAATAATCAAAGTTTACTTTAAAAATTACATGATAATGATTACAAGGAAAAAAAAAAGTTTCAAAAGCAGAACTTTCACCAATCACTAATGATTAGAAAACCTCAACATTCAATAAAGTGCTCAATATATTTTATTAATGTGGGATCTTCTTTTTACACATATTCTACTAAATCAAGTTCAATTTCTTAATCATTAATCATTCATTATTTATGATTTAAAAAATACATTAACCCCATGTGCATAGATGGGGATCAAAGTGCACACGTCACAACTTTTTACAGAATGCCATTTAACATGGTATTACCCTACTACCCCTAATTAATGCCCCCAGCAGTGTTGCAAACTGCAAAGTGGTGGATGCTAATTTTTCATGTGATTTTCTTATTTCAATGCTAATAAGTGTGTGTATGCACATGTTTTTCTTCTTTTTTTTTCAATTCAAAATTACAGTAATAAAAGTGGATATGTTGGATTACTTTGCTATAAAAATTACAGTAATGAAATGGATTACAGTAGAGGATTATATGTTGGATTACTATTGCTGTCACACAAGGTAAGCTGTATAAAAATACCAAGAAGGGTAATAATTAGAGAGGGGCTTAAATTAGGAGCAGTACAGTATGTATTTGATGTCAGTTATTAACTATACATTTTACTGTATATTGCTAATTTACTGACAGTTCATGGTCGAAGAAAGTAAATACCAAATACTGAAACAAAGTAGATATACATTTCAGAGGTTATGCAAATGCAATATGTGAACTGTATGATGGAGAAAAGTATTTTTAATCTTCAAATAAATATTACCCCGCACTCTGACTTGTCAAAGTCAGATTGTTGTTGTCAATTCACAAACATATCATGAGTGCAGATACTTTTGTCACACATCTGAGTTTTTGTGTACAAAAACATGTACATTTTATGAAGATATTGCCATATTTCATGTGGATATAAGTATTAAATTTCTTCTCCAGTATGGAACAAGTCCAATGGAATGACTCATGCATATTCAGTTAATTCGTATCCTCTTTCATAAGTAGGAAGCTCGTTGAAACAGAAACATGCATCTTATCAAGTATTTTTAATGATTTTCATTTGTTAAAGATGCAAAGCTCTCAAAAGTTCAACTATATTTTACTTCATCAAATAAGTATAATGTTTTCTTTTATACTAGTATTACACTAACACGAGAAAATACATTCAGAGGTAGACCTTACCCTCAAATGTGTGTTGGTCAATAATCAAAAGGCTGTGAACTTCTATTTCCTGTCCATACTGGTCACTACTGCTACTGCCCCCAAATGTGTTGTTTCCAGGCTTAACCACACTTGAGCTAAATATAGAAACAATTGTTATAGCATCGATTTTTTTGTTCTTCTGATCTACATAGCCTAACTATTGTAGACTTTATTACAAATAATAAATTAATTATATATTTCTGAAACAGGATTTCTGGATGCATAATAAACCATTATTATGTACTACAGAATGGATTGTTTGAAACATCATCTAATCAGTGCTCACAATAGCATAACAAGACTGCACCAGTCATTTTCAGATTTTAATGAAGAAACACTGTCAGTAAAAAAACAGCCACGTCAGATGAAAGTTTGAAAACAGTTCATAATAAAAAAACACAAACAACACTGCCTAGATGTATCTTTCAAAACATTCTATAGATTATTTATATGATAAAAGAAAAAATTCATGAGCTTCCAAAAGAAACATCCTTTGAATTATAACCATCAACAATACTTGTGAAACATGATTTCATTGTTTTAAGTATCTATGTGTGTGTGTGTATATTTAAACAGTCTAATTCAGGTAAGAGTTTGTGAAAAACACATAAACGTTTAATTACCTGCACATTCTAGTGTCATGACCTGACCACTAAAGAAACAGAACAAAATGTCAGATAGTAAACACTTTCTGAATTCCCTCTTTAGTTAAAATCTCAAGTTAGAGCTCATATGTAAGGCATACTGCTCAACTGTATGTTTCTTGATAAAAGAGTTAGCACAAAGGTTCACATACAAAGTTTAATAAACTTAAAATAAGACCCAAAACTTGAGCGCTTTCAAATAGATGACTATTCTTCTTCAGGAGAACAAAGGGTGACCTTCAGCCTGTGCAATGCAATATATAGTAGGATGTGGGACATCATGTAAACCAGAAGTCCCAGTTGAGTTGAATCTGGTGACCAGCCAATCACAACTCAAGCCGTTAGTCTCCCGGAAGGGAGAATTCGTTTGTAGAGAGAAAAAACAAAAAAATTATTATTAATTTTCATTATGTATGAAACCTTTGACTGATAGTGAAAAATTAAATACATAGGAAGATGAGAGCTAGAGAAAATAATAATGTAAATCGATACCTGAAACAATAATAATAATGTAAAAAAATAGAAGCATGAATAAAAATGTGAATAATAATAATAATAAAACTTTAAAAACTCAATTACAAGTTATTCGGACATTTTTTAGAGACGCTCGAAGGTCAACAATACCAGGATCACTATTGATGCCATTCGGCATTACAGTATTTAACAGTGCTATCCAGTAAGCTTCTTTAATTTCCCTGTTTCTGTTTGATGTAAAATTTGTCTCTATACCTGTCAGTATCATGTTGTCAAGAGAGTGGTCAGGCATGTTGAAATGCTCTGCAACCGGAAGTTCTTTGTTCGTTTTTATTGAAGATTTGTAGTTATTAAACCGCTCCCGTATAGTTGTTTTAGTTTGGCCTACATACTGGAAGTTGCATTTTCGGTACTGGATTAAGTAAATAGCATTTTTTGTAGTGCAGGTTATGGGTTTATTGATTTTGAACTGTCTTTATCAGAAAAATTGTTAGTCTGCTGCATGAACTTACAGGTTTGACAACGTTTGCCATTGCAGGGATAACTTCCACCAGGTGTCGCATTAAAGTTAACTTTGGCATGCACTAATTTAGATTTCAAAGTCTTATTTTTCCTAAAAGAAGCAACAGGAATTTCCGTAAAAATAGTTTTTAGTTTATCATTAAGTTGAAGGAGTAAAAGTGCTTTTCCAGTATCCGGGGTAGGTTTTTTAATTTTGGGTGATATGTGATAACTAGTGGAACACGAGAGGAATTTGTTTTAGGTGACTGTTTCAAGGCAGATACACGTGGAATATTGTTAGCTTTGTCAACTTGTTGAATCACAGTGTTTTGTTTATACTCTCTTTTGGTCATGGCTAATTTCAAAGAATCAATGTGATGGTCATAGTTCTTACTGTTAGAGCAGATTTTCTTCAACCTAAGTGCTTGACTGAAAGTAATATTTTGTTTGGTGTGTGGAGGGTGACAGCTTTGAAAATGTAATCATTGTAGTCTATCAGTTGGTTTATGGTACAAATCAATATGTAGAAAACCATCTTTTAATGTCAGGTTTACATCTAAAAACCTTATTTGAGTAGTGGAGTAATCTAGAGTAAATTTAATAGAAGTGTAGAAAGAGCTTGCATGTTTATAGAAAGATAGTAAGGAGTCTTCGTCCCCTATCCAAATGGAAAAAATGTCATCTATGTATCGTTTCCAAATGTTTGGTTTCTCTCTCTGTTACTTTCAAGCTCAACTGTATGTTATATTCTAAACCGATGCTCACACCAGATCTAGCTTGAACATGAGAAACTTTGTCCAAAGCTAAAGTTTCACATGATCTTACCTGTATGTTATATTCTGTGCCTGGGTGCTAGCACTAGGTCTGGCTGGAGTAAGACCACTACTGTCATGAATATCATGTCTCATACATATCACACCAAAAGTCTGAGTAGCTTCCTGGTAGGCTATCCTCCTGGAACATAATATTAGTTTAATATATTAAATAGTTAAGGATATAAAAAAAAAATTGTGTTTACAAGAACAAATGTTTGATAAAAAACAAAATAACTAGGTGATAGAAAGAAACAAAATAATAACATGAATGCTTATAAGTAAATTAAGGTTTTGTGTGTTGATAAGCTGAATCTTAAGTGCACACAATTGGTTTTTATGCTATTGTCATAAATAGTAACCCTAATTATTAACTCATGTGCATGGGTGTGGGTCCAAGTAAGCATTCCACAACTTTTTATAGAGTACCATTCAATATGGTATTAGGTATTTTATGTCAAAATTATCAACTATTCATTGGATCCAACACTGCTGATTTGGTAACAGTTCGTGGTAAAAAAAAACAAGTACCAGATACAATACACACAGGGATACTGAAAAAATCGTAGATATGGATTTTAGAAGTTATAAATGGTTATTAGTGAAAAATCTTTAAATAATAAATTAGGAAGTAGGAATGGGAGCACCAAAAAAGGAAATACGGTAGGAATGGTGGGATAACATTATAACATTCAGTGGTTGACATGGCGCAACGTCAAAGTGGGTGTGGCCATCGTTCCACTCATTCCTACTTTGTGTTTTTTGTAACTTAGTAATTGTTCAAAGTAAATGAAAGGTGTACATAGCTAAGTTTATCTGCTGTAAACTTGGTTTCAGCAACCAAGTACAGATACATGTATGTAATCAAATTACATGACCTTAACAAAATGCATGACATAATAGAGGGGGTGTTTGATGTCAGAAGTCAGACAGGAAGCGCCAATAGTCATACTGTGCTTGTGGGAGACATTATAGTTATCTGACTGGTGGACCAAAAGAATAGTATCAAAACTGCTGATTTTTCAAATTTGTAAATTTGTTGAGTATTAAAAAAGGATTAGCTACTGATAAAACTCAATTCAAGTCAATAATTGGGTCAAAGTTCA